CCTGCTTGTTGCGCCACATTTTATGCAAGGCACGCCAGGTTTTCTCTCCTCTCTGCTCTCCTCCCTCCGTCTACCTCACACATTCCCCGGCCGCGCGCGCCCACCCAGCTCCAACTTCACTCATAGTGTCGATAGGGTCACAAGCCGTCGTCGACCAGTGGAACGTCATCCCCGCAAGTTGAGAATCCCATTTGCTTCGACATTCGAGGAAGCCCGGGGTTCGATTCCCCTCGACGATATTATTTATTGCCCCTGGGATCTTTTCTCTCTCTCACTGCGTTCAGGGGGTCCGTCGGCACAGCCTGCCGACATCTGCCGACGTCTGTTGACGTCTGTTGACGTCTGCCGACAGAGCCTGTCGACATCAGATCAGCACAGCTGTGCCGACCTGTGCCGACGGTCCGTCGACGTCTGTGTGCGTGGGGTCGACCAAGCCTGCCGAGCTCTGCCCCGAGCTCCATGCCAAGCTCACCACTCCTCAACCAGCGGACGGTTGGGACTTACCTCCCCCATCACCGGAGGGCATCAAAGTGATGGCGGCAACTCACGGCACTCACAGCCAGGGCAAATTCAGTCGAGGTAATGTGTAGTTCGAGACTCAGCGCAGGCTTCTGAACCGAGGTAGACGTCGGAGGAGCATGTCAACGGCCAGGCCTGTCGACATCTGCCGACGGGGGGTCGACAGAGGCTCTGCCGACAGACCCCCTGAACGCAGTGTCTCTTTTTGGCGTCTCTTTGTACTTCCGGTGTCAATTTCCACTCGACCTCAATAAGCGGAGTGCCGAAGCTCTCGTCGACCACCTGCGAGTGGGGAAACGAAGTGCTGCCCGGTGAGCTGAGTCTATTTGTATGAAATGGTCGACCGTGGTCCTGATTCAATACACAACAGGGCGGGTATGATAATATGTATTCCATATCTGAATCTAGGTCAAACACGTAAATCCTTTTATGCCAATACGGCAAGCTGGAGACTGTGAATACGAAGTGCATGCCTATTAAAGGAACTGTACCTGGGCTCGGGTTCAGGAGCCGAAAGGTCTACCGAAAGAGTACTTTAGCTAAATCAGGGAGCTTACTGAGTGAGCAGAACTCTCGGCCGACCCACACCGTCTTATTAATTGCCTTATTATGTACCCCATGGACTTCATTTGCGGTTCGTCATCACGCCGCTCAATACAGTGATAAGATTCTTCTGAAACTCAGGGGAGGGCGGACCACAAATACTCCGCCGTGTTTCATAACTTGCTAGTACTCTTCAAACGTATAAAGGGGCTGCTTGTCGAATCTCAGAGCCATCCCATAACTCCACTCATCATGCAGTTCAAACTCATGGCATGCATTTCTGCCCTCGCCGCCGTTGCCACCGCTCAAACAGGCTGCGTGAGCGTCATTGTGGTTGTTCACTGAACTGCGCCTGACTAACCGGTGTTCCTAGGTAACCATCCTTGAAGGCTCAGTCTGCCCGGTAGGCTACGAAAAGTGTGGACCTCTCTCGACGGAATTCACCAACTGTTGCCCGGTGAGCAGATCTTCTTCATATTACAAAGGCACCATCCTTGATCCTAATATACCGCAGAGTGGCGGGATCTGCCCACTGTAATTCCCCGGGACATGCTCGCCTAGATAATCGCGTCCGAATAATGTTGGAATATCTTGCGAGAGACCTGTATCATTTGAATTAATGAGCACATATTTTCTATGACAGAGCTAGCTGGAACGTCCGTCCTTGAAGTTACGAAGGTTGGGCCTCAGTGAAAAGCGTTATATTCGGCCTTCCTAGCGCTGAGCTGTGCTATCTTTGCGTACACTGATTCACTGGCCTACTGTGCCGTCGCCAGTTTCACGCAACACGGTCTACACCGATCATGGGAGAGCGCGGCCAACGAGATCCTCTGAAGAACAAGGACATGTGAATTGATACCAGGTCGGGCTCCAGTGGGAATCAGCAGCTTTTCGAGCGTTTCAAGCCAAGAAATCAAGGTAACGAAGGTGTGGGTGGAAAGCAAGAGCGAAAAAGGCCATGTGGCATCCCGCATCTATTAGTTCCCGGTGTTGATCCTCCCTAAGTTCAAGTTCCAGTTGGGTTCGAGGAGCCGGTTGCCTACCGCAGAGAATGTTATTGGGGATTCTTTCCTCGGTAAAATTGCCGTGCTGCGTTTCTCAGATACGTCTTCCTTCCCAAATGTCATGCATTGCCAGTGGTCAGACATCAACAATCCGCTGCCGTACTTCTGCTCTATGCTCATGCTTTTCTTTTATATATTATGCTGAGCCAGCTAAGTAGGTGGAAAGCCTCAGTGTTTGCGAACTGGAACTGAGCCTGCACCCACCTTATCATGGTTACATGTAAAGATGCCGGATCAAGACGTACGGCACGTGTCCGTCCTCCTTCTCACCGCGTACCACCATCATGTCGCCGTCGCTCCCACAAGAACTCATCGAGGCCGTCATCACCGACGTTGGCGACGTCGAATCTCTCAAGGTCTGGTCTCTTGCTGGGTCCCAGTTCTGCTTAGGCAGCCAGTGCATCCTGCTACGCTCGTTGACGCTGAAAACGCATCCCAAAAGCGTGACCCCAAACTACGACGCAGCTCGATACTTTGGTCATCGACAACGCGGCGAATGGGTGCCAGCCATTCGCCGCGTTGTGCAGTGCGCCCAGCTGGCTCGTCCCGAATTTAGACTATGTATAGTGTCACTGCGCCGTCTCTCTACTCCGATTCACTACGAACATACGGAGGACATCGTACTCGCTGTGGCCAATACGCTTCAGCACCTCCATTTCTCCTGTCAGTCTCCTCATCCTGAATAGTTGACCATATCTAACATTGTCGGGTCGGCCCACTAATTTAGGCAAGGTGTATTCGACCAACTTCGGCGTGCCGCTCCCGCAGCTCCCCAAGGCTCAATCAATAGAGTTTGCAGGAGTCTACCATTCGGGAGTCTGGCAGTGCATCGACATCCTCTTCCGCTTCTTCGTGCCCACCTCAAGTCGCGCCCTCAGGGAAATCACACTCACTCTCCTCCCGATACGTTCCGCCTGTCCCGACGCCGTTGTTGGACCTCTTTTGAGTCCACTCGACACGGCGATCATGGCACACCCGGCAGCCCCCCACATCTGCTGGCGTGCGAGCTTCGCTGGCTCTGTCGCTGCGGTCCAGGCCCAGTTTGCCGATTTCGTCCTGGCAGTGCAGGACGGGATGCTGAGGGTCCATGCGGCGGGTCGGCTCGTTGCCGAGTCGTCTGATGACCACCAGGATTCTCGCGCCGGCTTCTTCCCTGATATTTAGTCTGCTTTCTGAACAGTGGGCATCGTCTGCATTTTCCATGGTGCGCTGATTCTTTTTCTCGTGTATTGTAGATTCCCCCGGTTATCCACATGTTAGCTCGCAGAATGACTTTCGGACGCTCTCGCAGTCCAGATATTGTAGATTTACATTTGTGCGTGGGTTAGGTTCATCTGGTTGATCTCTCCTGCTGTATACCGCAACCGGGGGGCTGTTCGAGCTGGCTGTCAGTACTCTTGATGCCATTGTCTTGTATGACTCATTCCGCTCTTCAGTGTATGCCCGCGCGCTCCGCTGGATTAATCGGCAATACCACGTCCATCCCTATTCCTATCAGTTCCTATCCCTATCCCGCCGTCTCCCACAGGATCTTACAAAGCAGATCCCAATGTGGCAAGCCTATCTCCGTTTCCCCAAGAGCACTTGGCTGAAGCTGACGGAGACTTCGCCAGGGCTGGTCCAATGAATTGGTGTCAAAAATCCGCGGAAGCCATCCGAGCAGCCAACGTTCCTACTGAGTTCGACAATGTATCATAAGATATAACAGCTCCTGGCCCACAATGCGAGTCGCCCCATCAACAGCAACGCTGCGCCATTCTCCACAAGATATCACTTCTGCCTGCTCCCGAAAAACTCGACGGACATGTCTGACAGGTCTCTGAGGAGACCGGCTCAAGATATCTCCCTAGCCCTGTTTTCGGCGCAGTTTCTTGATAAATCGCCAGAGATGGCTGCAGCGCGCATGATACACCTGAAAAGTGTATTTGGCGGAGTAACCGCTCGAGCCATAGTCATCTTCGCAGTATTCTCAATCTACTGGGGCGCAGTGTGGAAGGCGCCCGAACACACTCTCCCGAGCTGGATCGTAGTATGACTGCTCTTTTTTGACCTCGGCGCGTGCCGATAATCCGGAGGACTTCGACGGTGGTGTAATTGGTCAAGCGGTCTCCAACGCGCTCAGTGGGATAAATCCTTGGAAGAACGGTGTTTTCTGGCAAGTCGTACCGGCTACTCAGTTCCCGGATGGGATTGCCCAGCTGGAAAATGCCATCGTCCAGGAACAGACATGGTATGCCCTCACAAGTTAGTTCCCCTATGCTCCTTCTCCTCGGATATGTTCAATAATACGTGCTTCCCAGTCCACCGTGGAGCAAGTAAAAACCTCACTGCAGCGGTTTTTGCTGCAGACAGCTCCTATAATTCTTCGCTGGCAATCACGTTCATCGGGTCGGAGGCCAGGAACGAGAACATCTAGTAATTCATGCTTAATATAGCCGAGGATTTATTTCTCATCTCGTTATCGCAGCAGGCTCCACAGCCGTATTGTTTCTGCCCAGGTCGAGGTCATCACACACAAATTCAAATTCATCAAAACATCTCTTCTTCACCCGACCTCGAAACGACCCTCTCAACGGCTCCATAATTCGTTATGCGCCCTATTTACTACACCACCACCCCACCAACCTCCGGCCTTTCGATGTTGCAGTGTGCGCTTCATGGAAATATACGTTCCGAGCTATATCTGACTGGAAGTTCTCAGTGCCAGCGCCGTTACGTTCGTCGGCCTGATCTATCTCCTGATCCTTGCGGTGAGCGTCCTTCTCATGCGGATCAACAAGCTTTCTCACACCAGGCAGCCGTACATCTATCTCGCCCATTCCCCTGGCGCACGTCCACTGGCAGACTTCACTCAGTGGATCCTATGGGTAACAAGCCGTCGTCGACCAGTGGAAGGTCATCCTCGAAAAGTGGGTATACCCGTGTACCTCCGAGGAAGGCGGGGGTTCGAGTCCTCCTGACGGTATTCGCTGCGTCTCGGGGTGTTTTTTCTTTCTTCTTTCTGCGCCTCTTGGACCTGGACCCTACTCCGGCGCGTCAATCATTCTCGAACTACCTGCGCAAAACCGCCACTTGCTGGAAACTTCCTACGATTACGTGGGTTGGAGGCATACAAGTAAATCATGTGATGTGTGTCTCGGTTCTCAAATACATTCATTCAGGCTCTCCCCCCCCCAGACCCCGGAAGGTCCAATTGCGGAGCGGTCCGCGCCTGCTTCCCGTTCACAAAAACCGTACGAATAGACATGCAGGCGACGCTCGTTCGAATCGGGTTTGGACCATACATCTGGTTGAAAAGCCTTTTTATTGTTCAGGTGAAATTTCAGGCAGCACCTTTGTCAAATGTTCACCCTGTTTCGAGCTGAAGTCGTTGTCCGTTTCTCGCCCACAGCGAAACCTGCTTACTGTACTATTTCGACCCAGTGTTCAGGTGACGCATGACGGCCGATTTTTCTGAGGTCGTTAAAAAATCGCGACAAATCAAAAGAAAATCTAATTTATCGGCCATCTCGGTGAGCAAAATTCTCGAAATTAATGAACACTTGGTCGAAATAGTACAGTACTCGAGCCACATAGATCAGCGTACACGGCCGCATTCACACGGCGGAATTTATACCAATCAAGGCCGACTCCTTTGTGGGCTACGAAGTCCACGCGCGGCACATACGATACGCGGTTTGGATCGAATAAAATGAAACCGGAGATTCCCGAAAGATTTTGACGCAGCGCCTTCAGGCATCCCTCACGTGAACAAATGTGCGGATCAAGCCGAGGCCTGCGTCCTCACGGTCCTGCCCACCACCATCGACTCGCCTCTCTTCTCTGCGGCCATCCCGCGCAATCCAACCTTCTGCATAAAATCAGCGCAGAGGACATCCGGAGCTTCTCTGCCGGAATGGAGTCGTGATACACCTATGCGTTCCGTCGGCGACTCAGAGTGGGCGAGGATGAACGCGGGCACTATCATACATCGCCTTGTGGGCCTTGGTCTCTATTTTCCTGGGTGTGTTTTACTGGGTGTGGTGGGGGGTATCCCTGCACACGATCGGTTGTCGCAGCTTCCCTCTGCACACACCGGCACGGTGTGTATCCGGCAGCGCTCACCACAGCTCCGCATCTTATTGCACCCGGCGCCTTGACTCTCGGATCGCCGCGACCCCCCTACGCGCCACATCGTGCTAGGAGCACCTTCTTCTCGACGCTGTGGCCCACTCGTGCTCTCCCCGGCCCTGCTTCGTCATGCATGCCCACGTCCGGTCACGGGAGGTCTTCTCCCTTCCCTCTCCGTTCCTCCCGCCGTCCGTCTCGTACATTCCCCCGATCTGATACTGACCGCCTTTACCCGACGTATTCGCACGGCACCGTCGACCGCCTCGAAACGTGGGTGCTCCCGATTTCCCCCCTTCTCCTCGCGCTAAACTGCACCTCTTGGAATTCCTCATCCATCCAGGCATCATTGAGGCCCAATTGCGGAGAGGCCGCACCTGCAAGGTATGGCGTAGCACTGTATGCGCATCGGCCTGCAGACGACGCCCGTTCGACTCGGGCTCGGACCATGTGCCTGAATCGAGGCTCTTTTGCTTCTGCGTTCAAATGAAATTATCGTCTCCTCCTTACTCTTCCCGCTCGCGGGTCGCGCGATCTCTCCCCTCGTCATCGCGATCTCTCCCCGCGTCATCGCTGGCCACCTCGCGCCCTCCGCACCATCACACGTGCCCGTACGGTCTGCGCTCTCCGCTCCAGGCGTACATACGTTCAATCCGACTATAGGCGGGTGCGAACCATATCTCCTGCTTATCGAGCCGACGTTCCGCATCTATGCCGCGTGCGATTTCGCCCCGCACGCGTTGTCGTGATTCTTACCGACGTTTGGGACGCAACCCACGTTGATCTTGTCTCTCGTCTCCGTGTCGACGCGTCCGTCTACCTCGTGCATTCCGGACTTCAAACCTAACCCGCTCCTACACTGACAGACTTCACTCAGGGTATTCACCGGCTTATAACAAGCCGTCCTCACCAGTGGATGCTCATCCTGGAAATGTTGCTCTAGTCCACTATGGATCCTATTATCCATTGCCCCTGGATTTTTTCTTCTTCCTGCGCCGGTCTGTACTCCACTTGAATCCGGCGAATCACAGCCGACGAAGACATTCATTCCCACAATGGAACTTTCGGCGCCAGGACGAATTGCCTGGACTTTCGTTTGTTGGTCCCCGAAATTTACACACCACCCGAGGCTCACCTGCATAATACCCACGTCCACTTGCGAAGCGGCCTGGACGGGCATCGTCTCCCACTGCAATATTGATCGCAGATCTCGTTCGACTCGGGCTTGGGCCATTCAGGGACTTCAAATAGGTTCTGCCTCGTGCGGCGGATTTTCCGTGCCCGTCGCGATCGACTAGCACTGGGATTTTTGTCACAGATCCTCCCGCCAACGCCCCCCTCAACGATGAAATTAAAACCTTGTTTAACTATTTGGGCTCTGCGCAGCACTCGGGAGGTCCAATCGCGGAGTGACCCGCACCTACGTTAGATGCATAGCGGGAATCTCACGTGCAGACTACGCCCGTTCGGTTCGGGCTTGGACCATACATTTCTTTCATAGATCTTTTTGTTTGATTTTTTCATTCAGTCGCAGAGTGGCGGCACCTTCCCGAGAACGCCTGCTCAGCACTCGGGAGGTCGAATCGCGGAGTCGTCCGCACCTGCCTCGTCTCACATTGCCAGAAATTCCGTGCAGGAGATGCCCGTTCGATTAGGGCTGGGACCATGCCGTTGAGCACTGATGGTTCCTTTTTCTTCACCCCTCTGCTGCTTCGATCCACACTAATAGAGAGTTGCGCTGCAGCCATTCGAGCCATCAGATGCCATTTTTGCAGGGCGGGGCGAAGATGAACTGGGATGAACGCTATGCGCTTACGCTGTGCTACGTTACACCCCCCAAGTGTCACTCGCCGCGTCTTGCCCTCGTCCCCGCAATCGACATGCATCTCCGCTGGATGATCCAGGCCGTCCTTTCAATGTTTCATGTCGTCCTCGCTGCGCGCCCGGCGCGGTTCGGGCGCGGCGGAGCTAGGAAAGTGCGTTCCCGCGGCGGTACCAAGAGCGACCGAGAAGCTCTCCATCGCATGAACTCCTCTCCGTCTTGGCCGCGGCCTCCGGCTCGGGACGCCGCCCTCCTCCACGGCTCGCTTAGGCCTGTATCCCCGCCACGCACTCGGCGCGCCCGCCGCTTCGCGCCCGTGCGTTCCGCATCTAGCTGTGGCAACGTGCAGCGCGCAAGATTTCGCCCCGCGCCTTGACTCTCGGGTCGCTGCGCACGCTCCTTGCGCGCTGCAGCGCCGTGCGTGCCCAGGTGCGCTGGGTTTTCCCCACGTCTCCTCCCGCTGGCCGTCTGCCTTGCGCATTCCCCTCCTGTGTCCACCCGGTCCGATACTGACCGCCTTCACTGAGAGTATTCACTGGGTAACTAGCCGTCGTCGACCAGTGGAAGGTCATCCTCGAAAACTGCTTTTGTCCTTATCTTTGGTCATCGAGGAAGACGGGGGTTCGATTCCTCCCGGCGATATGCACTGCACCGACGCTTTTTCTTTCTTTGAGTCTGTCATTCGCTTCCACTTGAATTCCCGGACTCTCATGGAGCTGTCTTCGCTCAGCGGATATCGATTCTCTGGATGGAATTTCCGGCGCCAGGTGTGTTTGGTAATGCCTCCTCATCCGTAAACTGACGGCCATCTGCATACTCCCCAGGACCAATTAGTGTTAGGAGTCTTCAATCTTGCCTCTGCTATCCGCTAATAATCGAGATGTGTTCGCCCATCGTGCGTTCGTCATCGACCCATCTAGCAGATTCCCCGCCAATGCTTCACCCAAGGGAAGTTTCGAGGATATAGTACTCAGTGCAGGAAAGAAGACCAAGCTACGTGTGCGTGTCTATTTTGTATTTTATCTATCTAGTGAGGCTCTACTCAGCACTCGCAAGGTCCAATTGCGGAGCGGCCCGCACCTGCTTCCTGCGTTGCAGAACTCCTGAGGGTGGATATGCATGCGACGCCCGTTCGACTCGGGCTTGGACACTATGCTTTGAATATCTTTTTGGTTCGATTTCTTCGAGTCGAGGGGCGCTTCGGGCAGGCACATCCAGGGAGGTACGTCCGCTTGGTCGAATTTATCACATAATTGCATCATTTCTCAAGTGTGTGTTTAGTCCGTGGGCACTAGGGGACTTGACATGTATGCGTACGTTCGCGTGGGCCGCATACATTACGTGAAGGAGACGCCCGTTCGATTCGGGCTTCGACCGTGCGATGAAAGAGGAGATTTAGTTTTTCCCCCCTCTATGCGCCTCGGCGTCGACGGCCTTACCTGACCTAAAATATGATTTCGTTCCAGTCTATCCCTGGCACAAACATCCAGAATCCACTAGTTCGCGTCGCTTCCTTGAACACTGGCATAACGGAGTCCTTCCACCGTTATTAGCCTAATGATGGCCGTTATTACCGCTCTGATGTGAAAAAAACCTGTTTTGCCCTTCCGTTTTAGCTGAAAAACGGCCATAAAGCATAGAATGCGGGCCCGCATTGTCCGATAAGATAGATAGGTGCTTCAATGGCAGCGTGGCGGGCGTTGCAAGCGGCGGGGCAGGCGCGTTGCATCGTGTCGGGGCCGTGGCTGGGCGGGACGGGGACGGGGGCCACGCCGAGTCGAGTGGGAAAAGGGGATGCCCGAGGGGGCCGAAATCAGCATCGGAACATCGTGCCGCGATCAATTCGGAGCGGCGCGAAGGCCAGGTGGGTGGAAAGAATTAATTGTGGAGGGACGAATGGGTGGAAGTGGAAGAAGATATATACTGCGAGGAAGCTAAGAAGCCAGGCTACACATTGGTGATGTTTGTAGAAGCTGACACGGAACCTACGCGGAGGTCTGAGGGAAATGGTGAAAATAAAGCCAAAAACGGATTCGTGTCAGAGGTACCCATGCCCGGGCACCAATAATGCGGGGCAACATGAGATTTTTGGGGTGGAGGGAGGAATATGTGTCCCATTGATGCCTAGTGCAACGGGAAAGTCCAGAACTGACGGGCAAACACTGTTTTCGGGCTTGCAACGGAGCGGATCAAACGGAAATGATGCCGTTGCAGCGAAATGGTGGCCTGTTTTGAACGCGACACCAGGGGGTGAGTTTGAGGAATATATGGGTGTTGATGAGGTCGGAAGGTGCGCAAGAGGGAAGGCTTTGGGTGTGAAAAAAACCAGGGAGATCGGATATCAAAGTTGTGTACTTGTCAGTTTCGTCGTGTTTTGGGCTCAAGAATAAAATGAGCGATGCGGGAGTTGCAACTTACTTCGGTGAGTATTAGACATCAATCATCAATTAAATGCCATGTCAGTACAAAATCGTCGTGAGCAAGATAGTCACACGAAACACGGCTCACACCTCCACAGGCACAGTCGGCCCACCCTCGCGCTCGCGCGTCTTCTTCCTCTCCAAATCCGCCGCCCACAGCGCCGCACCCGCCGCCGTAGTAAGCAAGAACAATATGCAGAGCATGGGTACAAGCTGCAAGAGCTGCGCGACCATTCCGAACCATGTATATTTCCACTGGCGCTTCTTGATAAACGCGGAGCGGTCAGCCTTGCTAAGGCCTAGAAGCTTGAAGTAGCGCCAGTGGTGGAAGGGGCCTGCGCGGCGGCCGAGGACAAGGCAGTAGAGCGGGCCGCCGGCGAGGGGGACAAATGTGAGCGGGAGGAAGAGGAGGTATTCGATGGAGAGGCGGAAGGAGAAGGGGGAGTAAATGGCGGATTTTGAGGTAGAGCCGAGTTGCTGGACCGGGTCGGCGCCGGTGGGGATTATGGTCCGTCGGGTGGCGACGAGCTCCGGGAAGCCTTGATGGATCAGGACCTACGTGGCGGTTGAGGCTGTGGTGCGATGACAGGGAGCGCGAGACTCACGGCATCGAAGATCTCGACTAGGGCCTCATCTACGAAGAAAGCTTCGAAGAGAAGGGCGATTATGGATGCACTTTCACCGAGTACGAGGAAAACGGCGTTGAACCATGCGAGATTTCCCTGGAAGATGGCAAGAAATGCCACCTGCGGCAGATAGGCGATGATAAAGAGCGTTGGGAGCACAATGAGAGAGACAACCAGGCATGGGATGAACCTTGTGCGAAAGAGGGGCCACATGAATTTGTGCCGTACACAAAAGTAAAATCCCTGAGGGAAATCAGTATTGCGACGATATCATGGGCGGTATTGGACCTTGAGGGGATAAAGATACGCTGAGGCGACCAAGATCTCCTCCGATTTCGCAAGGAGAGCAGTGCGCTCATCGTGCGCGTCTCTTGCGTCAGCCATGGCCTCCAGCTCACAGTGGTACGGTGATGAGGGTGTTAAGCGGCCGTGTCACAATCCGCGTCACACCCTGTTCTGGACGCTTGCCATCCGGGGAATCAATCATTCCTGCCGTCTGTCTATGAGATGCGATAAGTAGATGTCTATCGACACGACCAATTCCGATAGACAGGCTGGTTCGAGCGCAGGTCCGTTGTTCCGACTGCCCTTTGCATTGAACCATTGCCCCCAAGATAAATATTTGCACTTTCCTCAATATTATGCAATGGCCAAATCATCAGGAAAAATTCTGTGGGGAGTAGCAGCCCGGTTAGATATGTAGGGCGATAGGTTCATAACAGAACTCCCAACCAAGGTAAATATGCGATTGCTTTCAAAGAACGCAAACCTACTCCAGGTTTGGACGCTGGGCAAGACTCGTACTTGGAGCAATCGTCTCTAAGGGCTCAGCAGATAAATGTCTACGATGTCGTCGAGGAGTGATATCCCGCCCAGTTGCGCCCAGAATACAAAGCTGCGGCATATACTACTGCCTGTAAGCTGGAACTCCGGATTTATCAATGCTCGGCTATCACAGACGAGGATGGTAGACAACTTTGAAGTTTGCGCGGGTAATACATGCTTCTACACAAAAAGTAGAGGATCCGCAGGGGTCCCCGTTGGAGAGGTATAATTTTGCGTTCAGGTACGTTAACCACTCTAACGAGTGAGGGCAGCACACCAAGATGGCCAGGAAAATTAGGCTCGTGACCAGCCTGCCTACAAATGGCAAAAAATATGTGGCGAGCACTTTGCCGTAGGCAGGCTGGTACAACTCGGGACCCGCCAAAGGGCTTGGCCCCGAGTTCGAAATTTTGAGTGGTGCCGACCATCGGCATCACGCTGCGATCAATTCCCTACTAAATGTGAGCCTCCAGAACTCACCCGCTGCGAGCTTAATCAAAATTCTGAAGAGACAGAGTTTGAGAAGAGTGGAATTGGAGTTGTCTTTCCCTTTGGAGTTTTTCCAACAGATGTAAAATAAGCTCAGAATAAAGGAAAGGAAAGTGATCGAACTCCGCGCCCAGCCCTTTTGTTTGTCCCGAATTGTACCAGCCTGCCTACGGCAACGTGCTCGCCACATTGTTGCAACTCGTAGGCAGGCTGGTAACGAGCCTACAGGAAAATATACATTGAGCGAGATGCGCTGTAATGCGCAGCTCGGTACATCATAAATAACCGGTAGCCCGTACGAGGTAACAACTTGAATGCACCTCAGCACAGACAATCGGAATACAGGACAGAGCGCCGAGTTGCGCAGCATTGCGTGCGAGGACGGACGAGATCCCGGGCGGAGGTGGTGGGAGTAATGGAGAGCATAGGAAAGCGATGGAACTCGGCGTTTCGACGTGCGGTGCGAGGTACTAATATTGCCATCCACGCCCCGCGGACGATCGCATGGTAATTGACCAGCGTGATGGTATTCAATGTCTCTAACACTCCCCATCGTCGCCCGAGATTGTTCTACAGATCCGACAATGTGCAACGGCCTCGTCCTCACTCCGATCCTTCTTATAGCACTAGTGGAAGGCGCTCTGCTGGCGCGGCCGGCGGTGTATGCTTCTCGAAACCGGACTTTTACCGGAGGCAAGTACGCCTCGGGTGCCATTTCAAGTTGTGATTCACGGCTTCCCAGTTCCCTGCTCTCGGACTGATCCCTGGGCACATAATCATGGCTACAACCGCTCGAGAAAAGCCTGCGATCAACATCTACGCCCTGGAAGCGCTGGAGCCTTTATGGCAGCCCGTAGACAACCTCAACTTCCTCGCGCCCACCAAGACCACCGCAGATCCCCTCCACGTCCTAGCCCTCCCGATGAAGAGCCAGCCCACGTGGGTGCTCGGCCTATTCGTCCACGCGAGCCGCCTGCGCTGGGACACCTTCCAGGTCACCGCACACGTCGAGTACAGCCCGTCCTGGTCTATGGCGGACCGCGCCGTGCGGCGCGGCGTCGCGCAGCTGTCCTACAACGCGGCGCTCGATTCTGATCAGCGCGAGTGGGCGGCGTACGTGTCTTCCGGGCGCACGTCGGATGACGTGCAGGAGATGCGGCAGCTGAGCAACGCGGGGTACGCGGTGGACGGGCGGACGCATCGGCTGTCACGCAGTGCGAAGCCTCCGCGGATCCTCGAGGGCGCGGAGCAGTGCAAGTTGACGCACCTGTATGCGTACAGC